CCGTGGCTTGTCCGGTCCTTCGATCCGCCCTTGTAGTGACTCGCCCCCTTCATCGGCAGATCCCTTTATGATATTGATAGTGAAACTCATTCAATTGATTCTCAGCCGTTTGTTCCAAATCTCCCGAAGAGACACATCGGTTCTTCTAAATCTCCAAGTCAAAATTTAGAAATCGGGCGTGACCCGACCGGTGAGGTTGTCCCCCGAGATATCCCAAAAAGTTATAGTCTCTACAATTCGCTACTTAAGTTGGAAAAATGTCTAGGTAAGTATGACCGGGTTGATGATTACGTCTATAGAGCCCCCGGTCCTAAAGAAAGGCTCCCCGGGTCCGACCCCCGTGAGATAGCCGTGTACAAGGATGTTATGGATGGGGGTTTTCGGTTCCCCATTCATCCCTTTTTTGTGTCGATTTTCAACGAGTTCCACCTTACTCCTAGTCAAATTAATCCTAATACATGGAGAAAAGCATTATATTTTCTGTATGTCTGTCTCAAAAAGGGAATTTCACCTTCCATGGATCTTTTCAGGTGTGTCTTCGAAATGCATGAGCTAGTTCAATGTAATGCATTTGTCTATTTTACCACTAGGGTACCTTTGCAATTCCCTAAGTTTAGGAATTCGAATAGCATATGGAAGTCCTGATTTTTCTTCGTTCGGCCTTCAAAGGGTCAGTTCTCTTTTAACACAAACTGGCGACATCCCCAAATTCGTCTCTTCAATAGCCAAGTAGAAGTTATTCCTTTTCTAGAAGCTCAAATCCAGGACTTGGTTGATGTACCGCCTTTTGCACTTGACTTAGGGTTAGTCCTAACCATGAAGAACATGTTGAAAGTGGGGATGAGTCGTCCAATCGGTAGGTCGTTTATGTTTTTTTTTTTTATCTCATGCACACACGTTCATTTATTATTTTTGCCTTTAGCTCGTCGAGGATAATGAGTTTGGATGTGTGTTTCAGGTATGGACTTTGATCTTGATGAGGTATTGAAGACTCTGCCAGGAGGAGATGAGGGCCTTACCCTCGTTGATGGTAAGCTTTCATGTTCACCCCCACCCTCTCTCCCTTTTTTTTGTACTCTACCTTGTGATCTTAATCGATTTCAACTTATATGTGCAGTGGCCGAGCTTGATCTGGAAGGAGTCATGGATTCCATGCCTGACCAGGGACAGGAAGGTGAGGTAGATTCTTCGCCTATCCCTTCAAAGAGAAGGAGGGGG